TTTGTGTTGATCAGTTTTTTATCTGGCATCATTTTCTTCCATCTGGAAAACTTCTTTTAGGATTTATTGTAGTACAATCAATTCTCTCAACTGTTGCTTGTCTGAAAAAGCCTTTCTTATATCGATACTTGCAATTTTTGAAAGATATTTTTTAGTGGTTGTAGAGTTCTGGGTTGGCACTTTTCTCCCGACACTTTAAAAGTGTTTTGTTATATTTTGACTTGCATTTTTCTGATGAGAAGTGTGCAGTAATTCTTACCTTTGTTCTGTGCATAATGTGTCTCTTTTTCTCTGCCTGCTTTTTAAATTTTTTTTAACATCTTTATTGGAGTACAGTTGCTTTACATTGTTGTGTTAGTTTCTTCTGTATAACAAAGTGAATCAGCTGTACACATATCCCCACATCTCCTCCCTCTTGCGTCTCCCTCCCACCCTCCCTATCCCACCCTTCTAGGTGGTCACAAAGCACTGATCTGATCTCCCTGTGCTATGCGGCTGCTTCCCACTAGCTATCTGTTTTACATTTGGTAGTATATATACGTCAGTGCCACTCTCTCACTTCTTCCCAGCTTATCCTTCCTTCTCCCCGTGTCCTCAAGTCAATTCTCTACGTCTGCGTCTTTATTCCTGTCCTGCCCCTAGGTTCTTCAGAGCCACTTTTTTTTTTTTTTTAGATTCCATATATATGTGTTAGTATACAGTATTTGTTTTTCTCTTCCTGACTTACTTCACTCTGTATGACAGACTCTAGGTCCATCCACCTCACTACAAATAACTCAATTCTGTTTCTTTTTATGTATCAGCCTGCTTTTAAGATTCTTTCTTTATGACTGATTTTCAGTAGTGTGATTATGATGTATGCCTTGGTATCACTTTCTTCTTGTTTCTTCTGCTTGGGATTTGTTGAGCTTCTTGGTCTGTGGGCTTATAGTTTTCATCAAATTTGGAAAACTTTTGGCCATTATTTCTTCAATTTTTTTTTCCATTTCCCTCCTCTCCTTTTGGTACTCTGGTTACATGTTAAATTGGTTGATGTTGTACTATAAGTCTGGCTCTGTTCATTTTTTTATACTCTTTTTCTTTCTTAGTTTTGGATGGTTTTCTGTTTCTCTGTGTTTGTCAGTTTAGTCATCTTTTTGTCTGCAGTGTTAAATCTTCTATTAATTCTATCCAATTAAATGTTCATTTCAGATATTTTACTTTTCATCTTTACCACTCCCATCTATTTCTCTTTATATCCTCTTTTTCTCTTTTTTTACAATTATTTTCATGATTTCCTTTAGATTCTTGTGCATATATTATGTTTATAGTAGCTGTTTTAAAATCTGTTTCTATTATCTCTATTGTTTCTAAGTCTGTTTCTACTGACTGATTTTCCTCTTGTTAATGAGTTATATTTTTCCTGTTTCTTCACATGTACAGTGATTGTTTTTAATTAGATGTTTTAATTGGACATTGTAAATGTTGTGTTGTTGTGTTTGGATTTTATTGCTTCTTTAAAGCCCGTTGAAAGTTTTTTTTTTGTGGCCATACACTTAAGTTACTTGTAGATCAGCTTAATCTTTTTCAGGCTCATTTAAAAGCATTTTTATGGTTTGTTTAGAATAGCTTTTTGTTTAGGTGTAGGATAGTTCCACTACTGAAGACTCTTTTGGGGTGTCTATTAAATGACCCCCATATTCAATGAGATCTCTCCATTCTGGCTGGTGGGAACTCAATCAATTGGCAGCCCTGTGTGAACTCTGGAAAGTATTCAGCTTACACTTTCTCCTTAATGTTCTTTATCCTGACAGTTGCTCCTTGCACAGCCTTGTGGACTTTCACCCTATGCCTGAGTAGATCTGTATTCACCCAAAGACTCAAAGGGTCCCTTGGGATGACTTTTTTTTTGTTTTTTTTGGCTGTACGTGGGCCTCTCACTGCTGTGGCCTCTCCCGTTGCGGAGCGCAGGCTCGGCGGCCATGGCCTACGGGCCTAGCTACTCTGCGGCATGTGGGATCTTCCCGGACTGGGGCACGAACCCCTGTCCCCTGCACTGGCAGGCGGACTCTCAACCACTGCGCCACCAGGGAAGCCCCTGTGATGACTTTTTTGATTTCTTCTTATGCATAGCTTCTTCCTCTCCAGGACATAGCTTTGAAAATTTTAGCACTTCCTAGAACTTTGATCTCTGTCTTCTCAACACAGAGACTCTTGGGTTCTACTCGAATTCCTTCTCTTTCTGCACTGTCTGGAATTGCATCTAGGTGGGAAGGTGGAGCAATCAGAGGGCTCCCTTTATTTATTTCCCCCTTTCAGTTATCACAGTCCTGCACTGCCAGTTGTTTCATATATTTTGTGCACTTTTCTAGCTGTTGATGGTGAAAGGGCAGGTCCTATAGCAGTTATCATCTCATATGTAGAAACAGAATTCTGTTGGTAAGTTTGTATTGCTTTTGAACTTTTTCTAAAAAACAATATGTATTCTTCCTTTTTCATTCAATATTATATTACTAAGGTTCATTTTGTTACATGTAGCTAGAATTCATTCTTTTTCAGTTTATTTTATTCTTCTGTGTGTTTATACTGCTGTTAAATTTCCCATTCTCTTGTTGATGGTATTCGACTTCTTTCTGGTCTTCTGCTGTTAAAGACTGCTGTGCTCTAAATATGCTTATATGTGTCTCCTAGGTATATATCTAGGGATGGAATATATCTAGGGCCATAAGATATGTGGATGTTCAACTTTAAAAGATAATGCTAAAAAAAAAAAGGTAATGCTAAATTGTTTTCCAAAGTGACTATATAAATTTATACTCCTGTTAGCAGTGCCTAGGAGATCCCGTTGAGCGCTATCTTCTCTAACATGTGGTACTGTCAACTTCTTAATTTTTGTCAAAATACTGAGTGTAAAATGATATCTTATTTTGGTCTTGATTTGCATTTCTCTGATTACTAGTAAGATTGTACTTCATTATGGGGAACACATTTTTCTTCCTCTGGTGACTGGCTTCTGGTTGGGACATTAGTGGTTCTAAGTAGAGCCAAAACTTAGAGGAATAAAAGAAAGAACTAGTTCTTGTCTGTTTTGTTTTGAAAGCCCAGCTGTTCATAGAGAAATCTTTTTACCTTGCAAAATATTCTATCCATGTAGTTTAGTTACACCTTATAAAGACCCAGGAATTCAACAAAAAGATATTGCTTGGCTTTTCAAAATTAGACTTTTATCTTTTGATATGTTTTTGAAGAGGTTGAATATTTGCAGTTACTAGACAACATATCTTTTAATTAATGAAAGTGGAATCCTCTTAAGTTTTCAAGAGGCAGGACCCTAATTTGAGTACCTTTTTCTAAGGAAACAATCGCAGATAATGTTGGGGTTTCTTAGGGAGTCCAGTAATGATACCTTCCTTTACTGGTTTGGTTTTGAACCAGTTGAGAAGACAAAGACTAAGATAGATGCAGGCCAAAATATCACTTTCCATACTCCACATTGATAAAGTCTAGGTTGGGAGACTTGGTTATATCTGTCTGCAAGTTAATGCACTTTCTGTTGACCCTCAGAATTGGACAGATTTACATACCCATTTTTAGGCAAGGTTAGACTGAGCTGTGCATCAGGAATACCTGATCCTGTAGGAGCACCAGAGGATATGTGCTTCCTAAGGAGAGATTATCTCCCCAGAGAAAGAAGGAAGAAGCTTGTTGAATTTTTCCTAAATTACCAACCTGGTAAATCACTCCACCTCTCCCGGGACCTTTGAGAAAAGTGGAAGAGAACACCAAGACTTTTAAACTAATTGAGTTATTTTCATGTAGTGTGGGAAAAATGTATTTATCTGCTAACAAATATGCCTTTTTAATTAATATATATTTATTGAATATCAACAAGTAACTAGCACTATGCTTGGTGCTTTGGAGTAACAAATATTAGATGGGGTCCCAGTCCTTTGAGAGTTAACAGTATTGATTATGGAGACATTACTTATACATATAATAAAAATAGCTCATATTTATATAGCTCTTTGTAATTATGATGTACTTTATACACATCATTGTTATTCCCATTTTAATGATAAGGAAAATAAGGCTCAGTAAAGTAATGTGACTTATCCATGATCACACAGTGGGACTTGATTCAGGTATTTTAACTCCAGATCCTGCTTTTCCCCGCTGCATCATGCTGCTTTCCAAGAAGAGAAATTTTACTCTATGAGACAGCGTTTGACACGTCCCTTAGGCATACAGTGAAGGCAGAGGTAGAAGGCCAGGACAAGGGCACCTCTGTAGACTTGGAGCAGTCATATCAGGGAAGGCTTCATGCAGCACAGTGGACTTGAGCTGCTTCTTGAAGGGTGTAGAGAGGGTGTGAAGAGAAGGTGTCCAGACAGAGGCAAAAGGACCAGTGGGAGGTGTGGTGTGAGAGGCTTATAAGGAGACTTGTCTGACTGTACTTTAGGACCCATGTTTAGTCTCTGTGTGGAGAAAGGGTGAATGAATTGATGGCATAGATGACCCAACCTTTGAAATCTTGTAAGAGAAAGTATATGCCTCCTGCAGTTGGCATCAAGGAGCCATTGAAAGCTTTTGAGAAATAAGATGATTGAAACAATCTGTCAACATTTTCATGCCCTTTATGCACCTCCCATTCCCAGCTTCATTTGACCTCTTTTCTAGCTGTAAGTGATTTTTGGTGGTGGTTTTATTTTTGTCTTTCAGTTTTTTTTTCTGAATTTAGTATATCAGCTTTTATTAGTCCAAGAATTCCTGACTTTTCTTTCTTTTTATTTTCTAATTTAAGTCCTCTTTATTCTTTTCATTTATTGTATTTTCTGCTATTCTAGTATTTTATAATATTATTTGAGCAACTATCTCCTCCTTTGTCACTTTAGAGACTATATATTTTTAGAAACAGTATATAAATAACCTGTCACTTTTGTGCTTGATTCATGTTTTTATTTCTGTATTTTCCCCTTCAACTAAGCTTTAAGAAATAACCAGTTCCTCTCTTTGTCTTTCAGATCCTACCTTGAACACAAGACCTCCATGAACTATATGCTGGCAACACGTCTCTTCCAGGACAGGTGGAGATTTGCTAATCTTATAAATTTAGTAGGACTAGGTCACAAAATTAAGAGAAAGTACATGCAAAAGAAGAAAAGAGGCTTTATAAAAGCCTTCAGTAATATCTGATAGAAAGAGCCTTACAGAAAACACAATATAAAACCTGATTTTTTCAGAATTCGTTAACTGTCAGCACTTTGTAATATTTCCAGATGCTACAAAATTAAACCGTAAAGATCTTTAAGCAATCTTAACACATACCCTAAAACGTGTCCTTCTTAAAGGAAGGACTTTACTCAGTGCCTTTTTACTTTCAGACGCAATTTTAACAGACATGATTATCTGTTTTTTCTAGACTAGACGAGATTAGAAGGATCAGATTAGAAAAGGTGGAGGGGTGGTAATTCACAAAATAAATACAGTGAGAGTTGTAAGAAATGACAACTGATAACCTCAATACAAGGGAAAATAGGGGAGAAATGATGGAAAGCAGACATTGGAATTCAACTAGCATAGCAGTCAGGGACTGCGTAGTCCCACATACTTCTGTTGCCCCTGAGACATAACTGCATTACAGTACAGTTCAGTAATTGACTAACAAGGAACCTTAGTTATTTAAAGAAATCTGCATTATTTTCAAGGTATGTGTGCTTTTTTTGTGGGATTCTTAAAAATAGATACCCAGATTCCAGCCATTTCTTGTAATTCATTATCCACTATCAGGATCTATATGGGATTTCCAGTTTCTCTCTGTAAATTTGTGGTTATTACCATTGAGTAATTACACTGTGTAGCTTCTAACGAAAGAGACCTTGAGATTTACTTGGAAGACATATAGAAGCTCAATTCTTTATATATAACCTGGTCCCAGTGCCCCACCCGCTACCTCCTCCCTGGAAAATTTTACAAGGATTCTTTATCTTTACTTTTCAGACATCATACTGAGGTGTGTTCTGGCGTGTTACTTTTCATTATTTTGCTTTTGCGGTGGATGAATCCTTTCAGTCTGAAGATTTAAGTCTATTAACTGTGGGAAATATTCCCCTTATCCTGTCTTTCCTCTCCTTGTGGAACTTCTGTTAGATGAAATTTGGATCTTTTGCTCTATCCTCTGTATTTCTTTACTTTTTTCTCATACTTTTGATCTCATTGTCTCTTAGCTTTAAATTCTTGGAGATTTCTTGAACTTTGTCTTCTAAAATTCTAAATTGATCTTCAGCCTTACCTATTTTGTTACTCAGTACCAGCACAGAAGAGGGTTGTTTGATCTACTTTTTTTATTTTGGCAAGTATGATTTTAACATCCAAGAACTATTTTTGCTTTCTGACTAGTTTTCATAGTTTATGGATATAATATTAAATTTGTTCTGGTACCAATTCCGATGTGGAGGAGGTAGGGTGTTTCCCCTACAGCACCAAGCAGTTGCACCCTTCTGTTGTCCGAGAATTCAGTTCAATTCTGATACTGTCTACCTGGAGATTAGCATCAGATTTCACAGTTTAAGGGTTCAGTCCTACAAGGTTCCACCCCCATAACTTCAGATGCTCGTCACAGGCCCAGGTTGTTACCTTTACTTCTACCTACTGGCTGTCTATCAGAGCTTCCCACGACCCCTTCCTTGGGTGCTATTAATTTGCTAGAGTGGCTCACAGAACTCAGAAAAACATTTAACTCATTAGATCACCAGTTTATTATAAAAGGATATAACTCATGAACAACCAGATGGAAAAGACACACAGGGCAAGGTATAGGGAAAGGGTACGGAGCTTCATGCCCTCTCCAGGTACGCCATTCTCCCCACATCCCCAGCCCGGAAGCTCTCTGAACCCCATACTCCTGGGTTTTTATGGAGGCCCCCTTACATAAGCACGATTGATTAAATCATCAACCATTGGTAATTGAACTCTATCTCCAGCCCCTCTCCCCTCCCAGGAGCTCAGGGGGATGGGATGAAAGTTTCAACCCTCTCATCACAGGTTTGGTTCCTCTGGTGACCAGCCCGCATCCTTAGCTGATCCAAGGGCTTTCTAAAAGTCACCTCATTAGCATGACAAAAAACTCCTCTACCACTCATCACTTAAACATTTCAGGGCTTTTAGGAGCTCTGTGCCAGAAACAGGGATGAAGCCCAAGTATATGTTTCTCACTATAAATCACAGTATTAAAAATATCTTTTTACATCTCTCTGACTATCATAATTACTTTATTTAAAGTTCCTTTCTATTTTTTGCACTATGTTTAATTCTTCTGGATTACTTCTATTTAGTTCATCTCATTCTTTCTAGTTTATGCTATTATATTTCCTGAAATATCTGGTGATTTTTGATTGTCCAGTCATATTTATAAGTAATGGACTGTTTGCTTAGGATTGGTAGTTTGCATGAGTTTCCTCAAAGGTTGTGTCAGTCTGTTTCTGAACTGACATGGACTCTATGCTTGAGGCTAGATCTTTCTGCAGTTGAGCTTCCCATGAGGTAGAATGAAGGCGGAACAGGCAATCTGGGAACCACCACCAAAATTAGGAAGCATTCTTTTAGGGGGGAGCATAGCAATTAAAAAATTTGAGATGTAATGACATACGTGCTTCTTTATTAACACATTCAATGATGTGTTAATAGCAGTGGGTCTAATAACTACCATAATTTAAAAAGTGTGATAAGTGTTGGCAATATTTTGTGACCCTGGAACAACTCTAAAGTAATATGAAAAAACGTGTTATTTCTTTTGGTAGCAAAACCCCACTTATATAAAGACACAGACGTAGAGAATGGACTTGAGGACCTGGGGAGGGGGAAGGGTAAGCTGGGACAAAGTGAGAGAGTGGCATGGACATATATACACTACCAAACATAAAATAGATAGCTAGTAGGAAGCAGCCGCATAGCACAGGGAGATCAGCTCAGTGCTTTGTGACCACCTAGAGGGGTGAGATTGGGAGGGTGGGAGGGAGGGAGACGCAAGAGGGAAGAGATAAGGGGACATATGTATACGTATAACTGATTCACTTTGTTATACAGCAGAAACTAACACACCATTGTAAAGCAATTATACGCCAATAAAGATGTTAAAAAAAAATCGCACTTATACTACTGTGGATGGTCCCCTACATGTATATGATGCTAAATTTCAGATAGAGGATTAATTTTTTTTTCCCATCCAAATTGGTGCCCTCCCTGACTTCTCTCTTAAGGCTGCAGTAACAGCTCCTGCTTATAAAGCATTCTAAAAACTTTGATTCAAAAAACATGAATTTCCCTGTTTAGCAAAGAAAGGCCCTCCTGATTTACTCTTGCCTATCTTTTTAGCCTAATCTCCACTTTTCAATACCAACCCATGGCCAATCAGACCATATCTACTGCTCTTTCATGCCTCTTTATCTTCACATTCCCTTGGAATTCCCATACATTCCCTTGGAGTGGCCTTCAGTTTATCCTGAATTCTTATTCTAGCCGTGGCCTTCATCTTCTTACCTAGACTAGAAGGAAGTTCTCCCTGCCCTTCTTATCCCTCCATCTGATTTAGATTCCCATATTGTACATATTGTATTATAATTGTCTGTTTACTAACTACTCTACTTTCAAGTTGGCTTTTAAGAGTAGGTACTTTCTTATGTTCATCTTTGTCAGTATCAAGAACCTACCACGTGGTAGGCACACACACAAAAACATGCCTTAAAAAAATGAAATTGTGTTTGTTGCAAGCCCTAACATCCTCCGTTAAATCTGTTCTTTTCAACCTGAATGGATGTGTTCTCTCTTGCAAATCCTGTTGCGTTACTGTCAGAACTACTTTCAAGCTAATTCTCTAATCATTTCATTTCATAATTGGTTCATTTGTCTGCCTTCTCTGCCCTCCCCAACTCATCCCCCCACTTACCCACCCTGCCCTGGCAAACAGTGTCATACCTACTGTCTCACAGCATGACAGTAATTTTAACCCTGGCTGCATGTTAGTAACACCATATTTGTGCCCTAGCCCTTCCCAGACTGAAGTCTTGTACTTACTAAAAGCTGCTCAGGTGATTATAATGTGAAGCCATGATTGCGAATTACTGGTGCAAACCATTATCTGATTAAAAAGTTAAAATAATAAAAGTTAAAATAATTTCTCATAATAAGTTGACAGTATTAGGACGCTGGCACAGATAGAAGACATGGGAAGGAAAAGATAAAACGTTTCGGTGGAGACAAATTTTTCACTTGATTTTTCTATAGATAGAAGATCTTGGTATTGATTGCATCCATCTCCTTTTTAAAAAACCAATATCATAGGTTACCTGTTGTATGATTCCATTTATATAACAATTTTGAAAGGATAAAATTTTAGAATGGAGAACAGATTAAAGGAAGCCAGAGGTTAGGTTATAAAAGGGCAACATAGGGGGTCCTTATGGTGATAGGATTGTTCAGTATCTTGTCATGTGGATACATGAACCTACACAGTGATAAAATTGTACAGAACTAAATATACACACTCACAAATGAGTACAAATAAAACTGGGGAAATGTTTTTAAAAACAGAGAGGGTCAAGTGAAAGGAATTTGAATGAAAAACAAAAGCCAGTTTAAACCTGAATGGTACTTACTTCCTGTGGTTAGACCCCAGCTCTAGTTTAGAGACAATGAAGAACATCTCTTTTTTAAAGAGGTTTTTTAAATTATGGAAAATCTGTTTCTCATGAGCATCTTTTTTGAACCCCATGAAAATTGAGATTGGCTTCTTTCCCTTATACAGTTCAGTGCAAGTAGAAAGAACACTGGAGTCTGAGAGCAAAGTTATAGGTTCAATGTTAAACCCTTTAAAGCTCTGACATTGGGCATGTCACAGAATGGTCTTATCCTGCTCCTTTTTATAAACGGGGCTCAACAGTTGTTGTGAAGAATAAGTGTGATTAGATTTATGGCGAGATACACAAATGCAAGTAATTGTTAGAAATTTCCTCTAGAATTCATTTGTCCTCTTCCTTTTGTTTTTTATTGATCCTCCCTAAAGGTTATGGTACTCTGTTCTTTTCTGAGC